CACACAAACAAACAAACAAACAAACAAAAATAGAACCACATCACACACACATAGATCCACATCACACACAGACATAGAACCACATCACACACAAACATAGAACCACATCATACAAACATAGATCCACATCACACACAAACATAGAACCACATCATACAAACATAGATCCACTTCACACATAGACAATTCAAGACGTGTGGTATTGGTAATTTTTTATTTTTTTCAGCTTGAAAAATATACTCTATTTCTCAATGCAATATATTTTTGATGCTTAAAATATACCACACGGCAAGTGCTTTGCCAATGAACTATTACAATTACTATGGCCAACAAGAAACATGTGCCAGCATGTCAAAAAAGCACCAATACGGGAAATACGGGGCATGATTGAAGATATTCACACTACACTCTGTATTTTCAGTCAATGTGGAATTGTTTCTTTTGATTAGTAGATGTCTACTCTATGACGTCATCAGGCACCTATTATATGTCATAAACAGCAATACCATGCATCTATGATATACAATCTATTTGCTGAATAATCTGATATTCTCCTTTTTGAGATTTTGCTGAATTTGAATGGCAAAGTTCCATAGTAATAAAAAAGGGTATTTAACACTGTTTCATGTTATTCAAACTTTCCTTCTCTCAATATCACGCTAGCCTCTCACTCGCATGCACACCAAATGAACAATATTGTAAATTGCGATTTGCTCATGTATAATTATTGACAACCACTCTTAATGAATAGTAATATATACAACCAGTGACTGCATCCAGCAATGTCATGTGGATGTAGGTCTCGTATCATTATGTGATACAATTCAATATATATCAGAATATATCATATGTGGCTACAACGAATACATATGTGACTCCCTCATTGATTTCTGATTAGATGTGTGGTCATTTGCAATATTTCGTGAATTGGTTTGTGAGGAGACACGCGATATATATATTTCATTTCAAATTCATAATACGATTTTCAAAAGTGTGAGGTGTGACCTTTGTTTATTCAGATTAATATTGAATTACTTATTTGAATGTTAAATATTATCTTTTAATAATTACACCATGTAGCATGTGACCGACACTGAGCATAATCTTATTTTATGAAGTATCCTATAAAAATCCACTGATGTAACTTTAATTTAGGACAAGAATAATTCAATACACATTGCTGCACATAATGACAGAGGTGCAGCTATAACTGCATTAGTAGCAGCTGGTGCATATCCTGATTTGCTTGATAAGATAGACTATTGAGCAGTGATATAAGATATTGATATAAGATATAACTGATTACGAGTGAATTATATGGTATATATATATTATGGTTATTAACCCTTCAATTTATCATGTTTATACATTATTATATCTGTTAATTACAATTATATTTCACTGACAACAGTTTATTTAATGTTTGTATGATTTAGGACAACAACAAACCATTACACAATGCTATCTTGAAACAAGATATAAAGACAATCAAGTCATTACTATCGGCTGGTGCTAATGTTTTTTCAGTTGATAGGGTGAGTTACTTTATATGCATACTTTACCTGTACAGAATTTGTATTTAATTGTAATATCAGCAAAACCATGATAGTGTAATTTGCAACAATCAATGTTAACATGAGACATGTAACTGCACGTTAACATGAGACATGTAACTGCACATTAACATGAGACATGTAACTGCACGTTAACATGAGACATGTAACTGCACGTTAACATGAGACATGTAACTGCACGTTAACATGAGACATGTAACAGTGAATGTTAACATGAGACATGTAACTGCACGTTAACATGAGACATGTAACAGTGAATGTTAACATGAGACATGTAACTGCACGTTAACATGAGACATGTAACTGCACGTTAACATGAGACATGTAACAGTGAATGTTAACATGAGACATGTAACTGCAAGTTAACATGAAGACATGTAACAGTGAATGTTAACATGAGACATGTAACTGCACATTAACATGAGACATGTAACAGTGAATGTTAACATGAGACATGTAACTGCACATTAACATGAAGACATGTAACAGTGAATGTTAACATGAGACATGTAA